TCTTTGGCTCTTGTTTAATATGGAGCTGTATGAATCCTGCATTTGAATTTCTAAAACTCAGTTGTAAGAGGCTGGGGATTTAGCTTAGGGGCACAGTGTCTGCCTGGCAAGTGCAAGGTTGTGAGTTCGATTCCCGGTACTGGAAGAGTGGGGAACAAAACTCAGTTGCAGAAGATCAGGATAGGAGAAAATTCACTGCTAGATATTAGTTCAAATGAAGAAGGCGTGAAGGTATGAATGAAGCAAAAGCACTTTCACCATTTGTTCAGTAAAGTCATGAGTGCCAACTGTACCAAGCACTAGTACTAGGGATGTAGAGATAATACATAGTATTAGTTTTAAGGAGCCTATAGATTATGAGAGGAGACAGATAAAAGTAAAAATTCTGCTGTAATGTTTTTAATGTTAAGTCAGTTGTTGACTTACTAGATTGATTTGTGTATGTGGATCAGAAAAGACAACCTGGCTGGAGCATACTTGGGTGGCTCTAGATGTTGATTTAGGGAAAGATTAAGTCTTGCAGGGCCTTACAGGCTGTGATAAAAACTTTGGGTTTCAGGCCGGGGATATAGCTCAGCAGCATAAGTGCTTGCCTGGCAAGGCGGAGGTCATGAGTTTGATTCCTGGTACCAAAACAAACAAAAAAACAAAACTTGGGGTTTTATTTCAGTGTTCGGGGAGGTCATTCCAGAGTTTTAAGTGGAGAGATGACATGATTTGGTTTCTGTTTGGCTAATAAAAACTTTCTAGAAGAGAGATAATAAAATCCTACCTGGGAAGGTGTGCAAGGATCTGTAAGAGAATATCAGCCAGACTCTTGGATGATAAGACATTCACTATGGAAAAAAGTTATAGGGGCATGTGTTTGCATGGCTGTGTTTGGTGAACCAGAAATAATTCTGGATGACTAGTTGGGTGGGTGAATAGGCCGCTTGCTCTGGGAATGCAGGGTTACGTATTGCACAATTCACTTGTATAGATATGCCCTCTGGAGCTGTGCAACAAGGTAGCTTGCTAGGGAGTTTGGTGCTAAACCTTCAGGCTATGGGGTAGTTATAATGCTTTTTATTAGGGTAGAGACTCTGGAAACGGGTCAGGGATGACTGGGTGAGGCAGTGTTAGGGAGGAGAAACCAGGGAAAGGTAAAGCAAAGCCTGATGTTAGATAGGGGTTGTTGGAGTAGAGGCTTTGGGTTTAGAATGAAAAGTCAGGAGGGCTTGGGTATGATTTGGGGGAAAGGTAGATAGTGAACCCAGGGCCTTCACACTTTCCAGCCTCATTCCCCTCCTATTTTGAGACAGTGTTAAAGTTGTCCAGGATGGACTTGATCTTGCAGTCCTGCCTCAGTCTCCATAGTGCTGGGATTAGAAGAATGTGCCACCATAACTGGTTTTAAAGATATAAAATACTGAAATAATAAGATTTAGAGTACGTAACACTGTTACCTTCATTCCACTCCTCCAGAGTATCTAAAAATTATATTTTGTGTTATTATGTTGTGGATTGAACCTAGGGCCTTGTACATAAATACATTGTACCATTGAGCTATACCCCCAATCATGTGGTTTTCCATTTTTCTGTATCTATTTTGTATGTTTATTCATTCAAATCTACTGTTTATATACATAATTGAAGTTTAAAGTAGTATGATACTTTTTTAGTGTTACGCTTTTTCTTTATATTTTTTTTTTTTTTTTGGTACCGGGGATCCAACTCAGGACCTTGCGCTTGCCAGGCAGCAGCACTTGTGCTGCTGAGCTATATCCCCAGCCCTATTTTTAAAAATAAATTTATTTATTTATGTCTTTTTGAGACAGGGTTTTGCAGTACAGTTCAGGCTGACCTTGAACTTGCAGCAATCCCCCTGCATTAGCCTTCTGAGTTCTGGGATTACGGTGTGTGCCACTACGCCTGGCTCTTCCATTTTTTTATAATTTAAGTTTTTCAGATCATAGCAATGTAGTGTGGTTCTCCCCCCTTTTTCTTTTGTAGTTGCTACTCAGCATCCTATTGGTTAAAAATCCATAGTAATTAACTTGTCAGTACTTGATATATTTGGTCTTAGCCAAAAGGCCAAGAAGTGATTCACCTTAATAGAGCTTTAAGTTGCTTTAGGTTTTTCACTAGTTTTAGCAGTGGACTAAATGAGCAGTCTTTTTCATTTGTTTTAAGCTGCCTTAGGTTTTTCACTAGTTTTAGCAGTGGTGAAATGAACAGTCTTTTTCATTTGTTTCTGTACTATGCAAACACCACCTCCCGAGAACATCCAAGGTAACAGGCATGGAGTTGAGATTACAGTTGAGCAAAAGCTAAACTATAGGTCCTGTCCTATTCTGATTTATCCTTGGGGCATCTCCCAAGCACGTGATCAGAGTGGTCAGAAGTCTTCAGACCTGTTGAGCATGGTGGTTCATACCTATGATCCCAGTTCTTGACGGAGGCTGTGGGATTGTTGGGAGTTTGAGGCCAGCCTGGGCTACATAGTGCCTTCAAAGACAGCCTCAACTACGTAGTGAGACACTCTTAAAAACAAATAAAAGATCCCAGCATTTGGGAGGCTGAGGCAGGATGATGACCGCAAATTTGAGGCCAGCCTGGGCTAGAGTGAGTTCAAGGCCAGGCAGCACTCCATAGCAAAACCTTGTCTCAACCAAACCAAACTAAACAAAAAAAGAGTGGTAGGTTTCTCATTATTGGATGCACTTAAGCAGAGGTTTAGGTGCAATGAAGGGGTTTTTAATCATCAGCTTTGGAAAACATTCCAGTTTGAGTATGAGGGACCAAGGTGGGGTACTGTGGGCTGGTTGGGGGAGGGAAACTACTGAGGGGAAGTATAGGGGAAGATGAAGCTGGAAGCACCCCAAGGAATACTGTTGAGAAAGCTAGAATGTTTAATGAAGTCCAGTGGGAGATCTGATGGTGGCTGTGTACCCTCAGCGCAGATTGTCTTCAAGTATATGGGCAGCAAGGGTGAGAGGAGCTGAGAAGCATGTGCTTAGGACGCACAAGGTCCTGGGTTCAGTGTTACAGTGTCTGTAGTGGAAAGGACTGCGTTGGAGCCAGTGTGGTGTTATAGGCAGAAAGGTAATATTTCCAGCAGACAGATGGGTGAATTTGAGAAGCTTAGTTCTCTTTGATTTGAGGAACAAAAAGCCAGTCAATTTGGAGCTGACTGGGCTGAGAGTAGGGACTGGAAATAGTCTTTTGGATTTTTTAAAAATTTAAGATTTATTTATTTATTTATTTATTTTTGAGACAAGGTCTCATGTAGTTCAGGCTGGACTTAAACTCACTGTGTAGCCCAGGTTGGCCTCGAACTTGTGCTGATCCTTCAACCTCAGTGTCCCAAGAGCTAGGATTAGGTGTGCTCCTCTGGCCTTTTGGGTTTCGTGTAGCAAATATTGTCTAGGTGCTTAAGGTGGAACAATGAATGAAGAAATAACTATTTCTTCCTTACATTCTAGATGGCAAGACAAATTGTATAAATAAAACATACATAACTAAAAGGGGAGGAGTCAAGGATGTAGCTCAGTGCAGAGGCTGTGGGTTTTTTCGTTTATTTCTTTCGATCAGTCTATCTTATAAATGCTAAAGCAAAGGCTGGCTGTTGTGGTGCACGTGTGTAATCCCAGCACTCAGGAGACTGAAGAGTGGGTCTGGGGATTTAGCTCAGGGTAAAACGCATGTCTAGCAAGCTGGAAGCCCTGAGTTTGATCCTCAGCACCAAAAAATAAAAACTAAGGGAAAAAAAAAGGCTGAGGAGGATTGCTCCAAGTTCTAATCCAGCCTGGGCTATGTGAGACCCTGTCTCAAAAAAGCAAAAAGACTGTGTGATATGGCTGCTATTCTTTTTTTTTTTTTTTGGTACCGGGAATCAAATTCAGGACCTTGCACTTGCCAGGCAGGCACTGTGCACTGAGCTATATCCCTGGCCTGTGATGTGGCTGTAGGGTTCAAATTTCAAGTGGCTACAAAATGTAAGCACATTCCTTCATAACAGAGAGGATAGTTATGAATAAAGACCTGGAAGGAGAAAAGGCAGCAGCAGTCCATGTAGATAACATGGGGAAAGAACATTCCAGGTACTACACAGTGTTTAGAGATATTAATGATGTTGATTTATTTGAGCAATGACAAATAGGTAAGCAGGAAAGAAGTGTCAGATTAGAGATTTCAATCTTTCAGGACCTTATAGAGTACGTTACAGCTTGAATTTTGTCTAAGAGCAATAGGAAATATTAGAAGGTCCAGGCAGAAGTGTGACTGGACTTCACTTCTGCATTAACAAGATTAGTTGCTGTGGGGGGCTGGGGATTTAGTTCAGCAGCACAGCACCTGCCTGGTGAGTGCAAGATTGTGAATTCGATTCCCAGTACTGGAAAAAAAACCAAACAGATTAGTTGCTGTGGTGAGAATAGCATGGAGTAGAGATAGTGGGGTGGTGGAATTGCAGATGACACAGGATAGAGGGGACCAGTTGAGGCTAATGCTCTAAGTTAGGCCAAAACTGATAATGCTTTGGACTGAACAGTGGCAGTAGAAATGGTGAGGAGTTGGACATAAGTGGCTGATTGGTGGTCAGGAGAATCAGAGGTCAGATCACAACCCAAGATGTAGGTCCTCAGGATTATTGAGAAACCATTGGGAGCAGTATCTGGATCATGGTTGCATTGGAGACAGTGTTGGAATTGGGACTTGGCTTAACATCTGACCTGGGACTGTTGAAGTAGGAATGAGATTTGTTGGTCTCTGCAGAGATCAAGATTGGAATCTTGAGTCTGGGCAGCGCTATTGGATTAGGACCAATTTTGGGGTGAGGATTAGTTCATATATTCTTTTGGACCAGGGTAATAACCACCATCTCCTGTGTCCTTGAGCTCCCTTAGGGGCCTGAGGGGTTATAGGTCCTTAAGTTTCCTTGGATGTCCTGGGATGTAGGCTCAGAGTCAGGGAAAGGTAGAAAGGGTTCCTGGTGCTTGACACAGCTCTTTTCCCTCCAGATGGCCCACTGCATGACCTTGGTTCAGCTGTCCATTTCCTGTGACCATCTCATTGACAAAGACATCAGCTCCAAGTCTGACCCACTCTGTGTCCTTTTACAGGATGTAGGAGGGGGCGGCTGGGTTGAGGTGAGGTGGACCTTGGAAATTCTAGAGGGAGGCTTGGATTATATTCTGGGATAGTGTGTAACTGTGATGCTTATTGGCCTCTGCCCACAGCTTGGCCGGACTGAGCAAGTACGGAACTGCTCAAGCCCTGAGTTCTCCAAGACTCTGCAGCTTGAGTACCACTTTGAGACAATCCAGAAGCTACGGTTTGGAATCTATGACATAGACAACAAGACACCAGAGCTGGGGGATGATGACTTCCTAGGGGGAGCTGAGTGTTCTCTAGGACAGGTAGGTAGGGCCAGGAATTATTAGAATCCTTCAGACACAAGTTTTGTTAAGTGCCCTTTCAGATAACCCAGCATGTCGACTGGAGGTGGGGAGGTAAACAGTATCTAACCCTGTCTGAGATAATAAAACCTTCTCCACCTTGCATTGCCCCAGATTGTGTCCAGCCAGATACTGACTCTACCCTTAATGCTGAAGCCTGGAAAACCTGCTGGGCAGGGGACCATCACGGTAAGGAAAAACACAGCAAGGGTTCAAGAAGGGGCTTACAATGATAGAGAATTCACAGTGTGATACTTTCTTCCTTGCATAGATCTCAGCTCTGGAGTTGAAGGACAGTTGTGTAGTAACCATGGAAGTGGAGGCCAGAAACCTAGATAAGAAGGTGTGTCTGGAAGGAGGCCCTGGGGACCAAGAATTAAAGAGACTGGGATGGTTTGTGGTTTATGAGGAGTAGGGGTGTGAACAGAGGGCTGGCATAGTGTTTGTTTCTGTCTGAGTCATGTAACTGGTGTATCTGTGGGACTTTGCAGGACTTTCTGGGAAAATCAGATCCGTTCCTGGAGTTCTTCCGCCAGGGCGATGGGAAATGGCATCTGGTATACAGATCTGAGGTGTGACACCCCTGGGATTGGATGGGGTGGTGTAGGAGAGAATCTCTTGGGTTTGTGACTAGCAGGGTTTGGAACATAGGGATAAAGATATTGAAGGTGGGTGTGGAAGTGTGGCAGTGCCTCATGGACCAGGTCAGAGCTCTGTGAGAGGTCTTGCCCTCCACCTCCAGGTAATCAAGAACAACCTGAACCCTACGTGGAAGCGCTTCTCAGTTCCCCTTCAGCACTTGTGTGGTGGGGATTATACCACACCAATCCAGGTGAGGAGCCTGCCTCCTGAGGGAATTGAGCAAGGGAAGAGGGCCTGGGGAGGCACTGCTCACTTGTTACCCACCTCCTTCATGTATACTCACACGCCTTCCTCTCAGGTGCGCTGCTCAGACTATGATAGTGATGGGTCACATGATCTTATTGGTACCTTCTACACCAGCTTGGCCCAGCTTCAGGCTGTTCCGGTGAGCTTTGGCCCTATTCAGGGATGTTAAGATGGGCCTGGATGGCTGCAGCCCAGGGGAGAAGGATGAAAGGACAGCTTAAGTCCTTAGCTCATGCTGGGAGAGTTACCTACCCTAATTTTTCTCACCTCATCAGGCCGAGTTTGAATGCATCCACCCAGAGAAGCACCAGAAAAAGAAAAGCTACAAGAACTCTGGAACTATCTGTGTCAAGGTTTGCCAGGTGAGACAATAGCTCATGTGACCCAGGCTCTAATCCCTGAGCTCCAGTAATGGCAGTCCTCTTTCACCCCAGGCAATGACCCTGGTTTCATCTGCAGGTAGAAACAGAATATTCTTTCCTGGACTATGTGATGGGAGGCTGCCAAATCAGCTTCACTGTAAGTAGCCTTCCCCAGGGCAAGAGAACAAGTCGGGCTCAAGGTGGCCTTCAGCTGCTTTCCTGGCCTCCTCCCAGGTGGGCGTGGACTTCACCGGCTCCAATGGAGACCCCTCCTCACCTGACTCGTTGCACTACCTGAGTCCTACAGGAGTCAATGAGTACCTGACAGCACTATGGAGTGTGGGCAGTGTGGTTCAAGACTATGACTCGTGAGTAACTGGTTCTCTTGGCTGTCCCCACTCCCTTATATTACTTTAGCCGTTGGGCTCACAATCCCCTTACCAGCTCTTCCTCAACTCATTATCCTCCCACAGGGACAAGCTATTCCCAGCATTTGGATTTGGGGCTCAGGTGCCCCCTGACTGGCAGGTGAGCCCTGTCTTCCTTTGTCCCATTCTATGTGTTTTCAGTTTCAGTATCTTAATTTTGGGGGATGTGGTGAACTTACTTGGTGCCTGTTACTCAGCTTTAGGGGGAGGTGCAGTGATGCATCTCAAAAGGGATATATACAGCAGGCTTCAGATTGAACATCTCTAGGAACCTCCTTACGTACCATAGTGCCCTTGTTCTTGCCTCTTCTTTCCTGTCCTCTCAATTGAACCCCAAGGTCTTGCTCGTGATGAGCAATTGCTGTACCACTGAGCAGTACCCCCAGCTCCACAGTGCCTTTTTTCTTGCACAAAGGTCGAGAAAGAACCTCATTTTCATTCTTTTTTTTTTTTTTTTTCTCGTTTTAAAAGTAGTATTTAATTTTGTGTGTGACCCTGGGAGAAAGAGGTACTGTCACTTTTCCTCTCTCAATAGAGTTTTCATTTTTAGCTTTTGCTTCATAAAGCATTGCCCGAGGAGCCATCTAGATGAGTGCCTTTCCAAGTGGATAGCCCTGCCCTGACCAAGGTCATATGAATGTTTATATCAATAAACTGATTTTCAAGTCCGATGAGGAAAAATGTTTCATTATAGTTTCATTGTAAATCTTAGTATTTGAGAAGTAAATGTAAAGTATAGAGAAGCAGCTAAAATTAGGATTAGTTTTTCAAGGCAGCTCTTCTCATGACTCTGTTAAGCACCACAAATATATCACAGTAACATCAGATGCATTTATAGTAATATTCTTTTTTTTTTTTTTTTTATCTTTTTGGGACAGGGTCTCGCTGTGTACTTCAGGCTGGCCTTGAGCTCACTTTATAGCCCAGGCTGGTCTCGAGCTCACAGCAGTCCTCCTACCTCAACCTCCTGAGTGCTAGGATTACAGGCTATAATATTATCTTAAAAGAGTTTATTATAAATCAGTTTCATAGGCCACCAGGAAATAAAAGGACTATGTACAGCCTCACAGGAAACAGACAGGGAGCAGAGAAGGGTGAAGATGAGTCCAGGGCCTTGGTGGGCACATTCCCAGAGGAGGTGATCTTGTAAGGGACACTAGATGGTCTACAACATAACAAGCACATCTGTGGACCTATTTCTGTGACTCTGGCCGAGGTCAAAGAAGGCCTTGCATATGTGGGGGTGGAGGCAAGCCTGTAGGCATTCTACTGGGGGACCAATGGGCAGCTGTATGCCAGGAAGAGGGCGTATCATGCCTGGAAGAGGTGCCCCTTGCCTCGTAGGTGGGGCAAGATCTCCACAGCCAGGTGGGTACTGGGTCAGGACCCATGCAATACTAGCTATGGTAGTAGCTGCAGCAGCTGCAACTGTGCCGCCTCCTTGTGGGGTTATCACCCCACAAGGGATGGCCCACCCACCCCACGGACTGGCCCTGCAAGCCCTGCAGGAGCCTGTGGCATGGGAACACCAGCTGGGATTCTTCTGCTACAGCCCTACCAATTCCGGGGCCCCTAGCAGCTCCAGCAAGTGGCACTCAGGCAATGCAGTATCTTTGGGAGGAGGTCCTTCTATTGTTCTTGAGACCAGGTTCTCCCCTCACAGCAGCACCAAACCGAGAACTCATTTCTCTTCCCTTTCTGCTTGTGTAGAGTTCTTCAGCTTGATCAGTTAGACAGGATCAAGTTTGCTTGTTAGAAGCCTTGAAGGTAGTGGTGAGGACCCAGCCATCTTGCAGGATGCACTTTGTCCTGTAGTCGTTGTGCTGCGGCACCTTGGTGCTCCTTCCCACTGTCAGGGAGGTGGTTCTTCTGGCTCCAATTCACACTGGATTTGCCTCCTCAGAGGCCTAACCACAGCCAGCATCCCGTTTCCTATTGCTGTTACCAGAAATTCAGCCACCAGTAAAATCCTCATTTTCATTCTTGCCCTCAGGTCTCACATGAATTTGCCTTGAACTTCAATCCTAAGAATCCTTATTGTGCAGGTAAGTTCCCCATCCTTCAGTGTGAAGCAGATTGATTTGTCCACACTTGAAGGTGAGCCTATATAGGGAAAGAAGAGGGCTGGGGAAGAGATACCTGCCTCCATTGTCCAGAAGAGTGAATTTTAGAGCTACCTCTCTGGAGTCAACTCTTTCTTTTTTTTTTTTAATTTTTTCATACATGTTTGGAGTACATGATGGTTACAGTTAACTTAGGGAGTGGGTGGTACATGTACTGAACATATTCTGATTCTTTTTATTTCCCTCCCATCTCTAGACTCCATTTCCCCATTTTTGTTACTATTTTTAATTCATGTTTACAATATATAAAGATTATATTCATTGAGGGTAATTGGTACATGTATACATGATACATCTTAAATCTTTTTATGTCTCCTTCCCTTTTCCCCTTGGTCCCTCTCACATATGCAAAAAATCTATCTCCCTGGTTCCTTTTATCAGTCTTATTTTGCTCTTTATTTGTACTTTGGATTACTTAAATGAGGGAAACGGTGCAGTATTGAAGCTTGTGTGACTGATTTATTTCACTTAACATTGTTTTCAAGGTGTATCCATTTGTCCTACAAATGGTCTTGATTTTATCCTGCTTTATAGCGGAATAATATTCCATTATATGTGCGGATTTGGTTTGGGGGCGGGGTTTTGGAGACAGGGTCTTTCCTGTGTGGTTCAGGATGGCCTTGAACTCTTGCCTTAGCCTTAGTGCTGGGATTACAGGCCTGTACCACCATACCTGGCTCCCATTATATGTAGATACAACATTTTCTTCATCCATTTGTCTATTAATGGACATATAGACTGCTTTCAAGACTTAGCTGTTATAAATTGTGCTGCTATAAAAACGTGCATGTATCTCTGTAATATATTTTTAGCTCTTTGGGGAGGATATCTAGAAGGGGAATAGCTGGGTCAAATGGAATTTTTACTTTTAAGTTTTTGAGAAATCTCCATCTGATTACCATAATGGCTATACTAGATTTACATTCTTATCAATAATGTAGAAGGATTCCTTCTTCACTGCAGCCATGTCAGCATTTGTTATTATTTGATGTCTCGATAATTGCTATTTTCTAGTGTAAGATGATATTTCTGTTTCTTTTTCTTCTTTTTTTTTTTTTTTTTTTTTGGTCTTTTTGAGACAGGGTCTCACTATGCAGTTCAGGCTGGCCTTAAACTCAATTCGTAGTCCTGGCTGGCCTGGAACTCACAGTGATCCTCCTGCCTCAGCCTCCCAAGTGCTAGCATTACAGGCATGTGCCACCATGCCCAGCTTGTTTCTTTTTCTTGCTTCACTGCTCTAGGCAATGTTTCAGGTACCATGTTGAACAGAAATAGAGTGTGTATCCTTTTCTTCCTGATTTTAGAGGGAAAGCTTTCAGTTTTCCTCCATTTAATCTGATATTGGCAATTGATTTGTCATAAATAGCTTTTGTGAGATTCAGGTAAGGTCTTCCTATACCTACTTTCTTCTGTTTTTTTTTTTTATCGTGAATGGTTGTTGGATTTGTCAAATGCTTTTTCTGCATCTATTGATATGATCATGTGATTTTTGTCCTTGGCTTCTGTTTCTGTGGTGTATTTATTGATTTTCATATATTGAACCATCTTTGCATCTTTAAGAGGAAGCCTGCTTGGTTGTGATGTATAATCCTGTTAATGATTTGTTGCATTCTATTTGCCAATCTTTTTTTTTTTTTAATTGTCTTTTTGAGACAGGGTTTCACCGTGCAGTTCAGGCTGGCTGTGTACTCACTTTGTAGCCCAGGCTGGCCTTGAACTCACAGCAGTCCTCCTGCCTCAGCCTCCCAAGTGCTGGGATCACAGACATATACCACCACATCCGATACCAAAATCTTATTAAGGATCTTTGCATCTGTTCATTAAAAGAGATTGCCCTGTAATTTCATTTTTGAGGTCTTTGTCTCATTTTGAGATCTGAGTAATGCTGGCTTCTAGAAATGAGTTTGGAAGTACTCTTTCAGTTTCATTGAAGAGTTTGAGGAGCATTGGTGTTATAATGTCTTTAAAGGTTTTATAGAATTTAGCAGAGAATCCATCAAGTCCTGGGCTTTTCTGAGTTGGTAGGTTTCTTATTAATGTCTCAATTTTATTGCTTGTTATTCGATTGTTCAGCATTTTTATATCATCTTAATTTAATTTTGGTAATTTGTATGTCTTAATCTGTCAAAAAAATTCTGTCCATTTCTTCAAAATTTTTCAGTTTGTTGGAATATAATTTCTCATAGTAGCTACTATCTTCTAGATTTTGATGGTGTCTATTGTGATTTGCATTTTTTTTTTGGACAGGGTCATGCTATGTAGTCTAGTCTGGCCTCGAATTTGGAGCAATTGTCCTGCTTCCATCTCCAGAGTGCTGGGATTACAGGCCTGCATCACTGTGCTTGGCCGCCTTTTTTATGTTAATTGCAGTAATGTGAATCTTAGCCAGCCATGGTGGCACATGCCTATAATCCCAGCACTCAGAGGCTGAGGCAGGATGATATTTGTGAGTTCAAGACCAGCTTGGGCTACAAAGTGAGCTCAAGGCCAGCCTCAACTGCATAGCGAGACCCTGTCTCTAAAAGACCCAAAAAAGGGGCTGGGGATTTAGCTCAGCAGCACAGAGCCTGCTTGGCAAGTGGGAGGTCATGAGTTCGATTCCCAGTACCAGGGGGAAAAAAAAATTAATGTGAATCTTTTCTCTCTTTTGGTGAGTTTGGCTAATGGTTTGTCTATTTTGTTTATTATTTCAAAAACCAGTTCTTTGACTTGTTGATTCTTTGTATTTTTTCAGTGTCAATTTCATTAATTTCTGCTCTGATCTTTATGATTTCCCTTCTTAAATTTAGTTTGGGTTGGTTTGTTGTTGATTTTTACATATCTTGATTCATCATTATGCTCTGTTTTTGTAATGTTAGTATTGATTGCAATAAGCCTCTCTCTTGACTACTTTCATAGTGTCCCATTGGTTCTGGTATGTTATAATGGCACTGTTTGATTCCAGAAATTGTTTTAATTTCTCTTTCACATTGGGTGTTCGGGAGTGTTAAGTTGTTAAGTTATTAATTTGCCTGGTATTCATAAAATTGTATGTGGTTTTTTCTGTAACTGATTTCTATTTTCAATGTACTATGTATGGGCTGATAGTAAACATGGGATATTGATTTTTTTTGTACTTATTTAGGCATGTTTTGTGGAGTAGTATTTGGTTTATTTTGGAGAAAGTTCCATATGATGCAGAGAAAAATATGTATTATAGTAGGATAGAACACTTGTTTGAAAGTGTGGCTCAACTCTTTCTTTGTTGATTTTTGTTTGGTTTGGTTGATATGTCTCTTTGTGAAAGTAAGGTATTCAGGTCACCCATTGTGATTTTTTTGGTATTTATGTGATCTTTTATGTCCTGCAGTATTTGTTTTACAAAGATAGGTCCTCCAGTATTGGGTGTATACATATTTACGGCTATAATCTCTTCCTGTTGGATTGTTTCCTTAACTAGTATGTAGTAACCTTTTTTGCCTCTTCTGATCAGTTTTAACTTGAAGGTTACTATGTATGAGAGTAAAATTGCTCCCCTTGCAGTTTATAAATTCTATACTACTTTTTATTTCTGAAATTTCTGTCTGATACCTTTTTGTGGAGTCTATATCTTTGGTAAATTTGTTGTTTATGTTTTAAACTGTTTGATCAGCTCTTCCAATTTTTTGTTTCTCCTATATTGCTAAATCAAAGGAAAAAAGTCTGGTGGGAACTCTTCTTGCCTTCTACTGAAATTGCAGGCAGCCACACTAATTTCCTTTTTGTTCTTGCACTCAAAACCTAAACTAACCCTGTCTCAGGAATTCTCTCCTCTAGCCAGGTGTGGTGGTGCACACCTGTAATTCTAGCACTTGGGAGGCTGAGGCAGGATGATCTTTGCAAGTTCAAGGCCAGCCTGGGCTAAAGAGTGAGCTAGGCCAGCCTGAACTGCATAGCAAGACCCTGTCTCAAAAAAAAAAAAAAAAAAAGGAGAATTCTCTCCTCCAGACAACAGACAGATTATGACAGTGTCCCTGGATTTCTTAGGGACTTTCCCCCTCAGCATAGCATGTATGTTCATGTGCTGACCAGAGTCCTTGGAAATTGGCAGGCAGGGCTGATCACCCTCAGGAGTACACAGACCTGTTCCCTTGTTTGTCTTCCCTTTGCCCAGAGGGGAGGCAGTGGGGAAGAAAGGGCTGGTATTTGCAGAGTCTGATTTAGGCTTCTGTCGTTGCTTCCGTGAGGCTGTCTAGGGTGCTTTCAGGATAGTTGCTTGCTTGCTAGATGGGTAGGTGCTATAGCTGGGGTATTGCAGACTAGCCATAGCAGCACTGCTTCCTTTTTTTTTTTCGTCTTTTTGAGACAGGGTCTTTCTATGCAGTTCAGGCTGGCCTTGAGCTCACTTTGTAGCCCAAACTGATTTCAAACTCGCAAGATCCTCCTGCCTCAGCCTCCTGAGTGCTGGGATTACAGGTGTGTGCTACCATGCCCTGCAAGCACTACTAACTATTTTTGATAATCTAGATGTTTGGATTGATCTACATGTATCATCTTCTGATTTTCTGTTTCAGGGTATAAGTCCCTCCCCCACTACAGTGTACCTGTGGCTTCAGTGAATCCTCTCTGAATAACCTGACATGGCTCCTCCTCTTGTCAGCCATATTGGATATCTACTTCTGGAGTCAACTGTTCATCTTGCTATTTGCTAACCACATGACTTGGGGCAACTTCCTTACTTCTCTGTGCTTTGGTTTTACAATTAAGCTACATATCACAGGATATTGAGTATTTAAAGGGAAGATTTGAGTAAAGCAGTAAATTTGAAGCAGTAATCCTGTATATAGTAAGTACTCCCCAAAAAACAGTAGCTGTTTATCTTGGTTTCCCTTTGCAGGAAACAACACCTAACAATTACAACTTAAAGGAAGAGGTTTATTTTGACTCACAGTTTCTGGCCCAAGGCAGAAACAGCCTGGGTGGAGGACCCGCAGTTCGTTGTGTAGCAGGTGGGAAAGCTCCGGACCACAGTATACCCTCCGGTCATTCCCCAGTGATCCACTTCCAACCAGGCTCTACCTCCTAAATGCATGCTCAGCTACTGAACTCATCAGTGGATGGATCCACTAATGAGTATAGTGCCCATGATTCAGTCATTTTCCACACATGAGAATTTGGGACTTTTTGAGATAGGGTCTTGCTAGGTAGTTCAGGCTGGCTGTGAGCTTACTATGTAGCCCAGGCTGATCTTGAACTCACAGCAGTCCTCCATGTCAGCCTCCCAACTGCTGGGATTATAGGCGTGCACCATCACGCCCAGCCCTAAGAGTTCTTCATGTTTCATAATAACATTTTTTTAAGAATACAGGCTACATAATTTCTAGAGTAGCCCTTAGTTTGGGTTTACCTGAAGTAGCCTCAGATTTCACAATTTTTGGCAGGAATACTATCACATAATGCTGTACATTCTTAGTATATCATAGCAGGAAGGGGACATAATGTTTGTTTGTCCTATTACTAGTATTAACTTTGATCTTTTGGTTAAGAGAGAGTCTATCAGATTTTTTCATTATATAAATACTGATCTTCCTTTCGTAATTGGTAAGTATCTTTTGAGAATAAACTTTGAGGCTCTACAAATAGCCAGTTATAGCTGTGTATATTGATGCATGCATGTAATTCTAGCACTCACTAGGTTGAGTCAAGAGGATTGCCACAAATTCTGAGCTTGGGCTACATAGTGAGTTCAAGGTCAGCATGAACTATGAAGTGAGATTGTGTCTCAAAAACAAAACACTTAGCCAGGTTGGTGACACAGGTCTGTAATCTGAGCACTCAGGAGAATTGCAGAGTTCAAGGCCAGCTGGAACTATTTAGTAAGACCCTGCTCAAAAATAAATAACCTTAATATCTATTAATCATCAATTTTTACATCCATTGATGATCCTTGCCTGAATCAGGTAATGATGATACCAGGGACTGAACCCAGGGCCTTTGCAATGACCTACATTCCCAACTTTTTTTTTTGAGATAAGGTCTCACTAAGTTCTCCAAGTAAGGCTTGAATTTTTTTTTTCTTTTTTGGTACCAGGAATTGAACTCAGGACCTTGCGCTTGCCAGGCAGGCACTTGTGCTGCTCAGCTATATCCCCGGCCCTGGGCTTGAATTTCTGATCCTCGTGCGTCACTCCCCAGAGTGCTAGGATTACAGGCATAAACTGTCATACCCAGCCTGATCAGTTATTTCTATCATCAAATGATTTTTTAAATTCTTTTTACATTAATGGCTTTCCCTTATCCTCCAGTGATTAATATCTATATGGATTCTTAAGTGGGTTATAATTCTTTATTTTGTGAAGTAGCTTATTAACTAATGCTCAAGAGACACAGAATTTGTCCAAGGAATCTCCCTAATCTGGGTTTTTTAGATTTTTTTTTTTTTTTTTTGTCTTTTTGAGACTGGGTCTCACTATGCAGTTCAGGCAGGCCTTGAGCTCACTTGTAGCCCAGGCTAGTCTCGAACTTGCAACAATTCTCCTGCCTCAGCCTCCTGAGTGCTGGGATTATAGGCATGTACCACCACATTGGCTTTTTTAGATTTTTATCTGTGTATATTTACAGTACATAATGATTACATTCATTGTGGGGAGTACCTAACACAGATACATAGCACACCTTAATTCTTTCTAGTTCTCTCCCCCTTTACCACACCCTCTGTCTCTTGATCTTCCATTTGCAAAAGATCTAGCTCCCTATTTCCTATTCTTTTACTTTGTTCTTTATTTGTACTAAATCTGGGTTTTATTCCATGCTGTTAATAAGTGCAAGTCCCTCTTCTTGAGCATTGGTTTCTGTCTATAGGAGAGGGTTAGGTATCTTGGGTCACAGGGGTGACTGAGTGAAATGCATCCAGATTCTTGATTTAAGGAGTAGCTGCTGGGTATGGTGGCACACGCCTGTAATCCCGGCACTCAGGAGGCTGAGGCAGAAGGATCATTGCGAGCTCAAGGCCAGCCTCAACTGCATAGTGAGACCCTGTCTCAAAGAAAAAAAAAAAAAAAAAACTACTAGCCTGGTCTTGGAAAGTTTGGAATTTCACAGTGGCTTTGTTTTGGCCCTCTTTCTCTGCAGGTATCCAGGGCATTGTAGATGCCTACCGCCAAGCCTTGCCCCAAGTTCGCCTCTATGGCCCCACCAACTTTGCACCCATCATCAACCATGTGGCCAGATTTGCAGCTCAGGCTGCATATGAAAGGACTGCATCAGTAAGTATTATAGCAGTGGTAGTGGGTGTAAGGGTGGTATAACCAGGGAATATGTAATTGGAATGTTTGGGGACGGTTTTGGAAAGAGCATCTGCCTGAATATACACATGGGCTTACCCCCAGCAATACTTTGTGCTGTTGCTGTTGACTGATGGTGCTGTGACTGATGTGGAGGCTACCTGCCAGGCTGTGGTAAATGCCTCGAAGCTGCCCATGTCCGTGATCATTGTGGGTGTGGGTGGAGCTGACTTCGAGGCCATGGAACAGCTGGATGCCGATGGTGGACCGCTACGTACATGCACTGGGGATTCAGCAGCCCGTGACATTGTGCAGTTTGTGCCTTACCGTCGGTTCCAGAATGTGAGTAAGGGCAAGGTCGAGGGTAAACCAGTCTGGGAGTTTATCCTTCCACCTGTTCTAGATGTGAATGGGGTTGAGGACCAGGAGGTACAGGCCCTTTCCTCAAAGTCTGGGACAGTTTTGGGTGCCAATTTGGTATCCTTTCTTAGGTTGAGCTGTAAACTTTAGGAAGGTGTTATCCCCCACCCCGACCTCAGTGACTTTGCTCTTGTCCTTGCAGGCCCCTCGGGAAGCACTGGCACAGGCTGTGCTTGCAGAAGTGCCCACACAGCTGGTCTCCTATTTTAAGGCCCAGGGTTGGGCCCCACTCAAGATGCCTTCATCCCCAGCCAAGGTTCCTGCACAGGCCCCCCAGGCCTAGGTGGCACTTTGTATTTTATACCTGCTTCTGTTATTGCTACTGGGTTTTTTGTTTGTTTTGAGACAGGGTCTCACTATGCAGTTCAGGCTGGCCTTGAGCTCACTTTGTAGCCCAGATTGGCCTCAAACTCACAATGATTCTCCTGCCTCAGCCTTCTGAGTGGTGGGATTACAGGCGTGTGCCAGCATGCCTGGCCTGTTACTGCTACTCTTGAGCCCATGTTTTTGTTCTTGGCACCTCTCATTTAATAGAGACCAGTAAAGACCACTGCTGTGCCACTAGTCTGTATTCCTGGATTCAAACAATTTTCATGCCTTAGCCTTCTGAATAATTAGGACTACAGGCATGCACCACCAGCCTCAGCTCCTTTTATTTGGAGATAAGGTCTTGCTAAGTTACCCAAACTAGGCTCCATCCAATTTGTGATCCTCCTGCTTTAGGCTCCCACAGTGCTATTGTTTTGCAGTACTGGGGATTGAAACTGGAGCTACATTTCCAGCACTCCATCCCAATTCAGAGACAGGGTCTTTCTAAGTCACTGTCACCCAGGCGGGGCTTGAACTTGGTCCTCCTACCTCAGCTGGGATTATAGGTATATGCTACCATGTCTGACTAATCTTAGGGTTTTTTTGTTTTTTAAGACAGGGTGTCTCACTTTGTAGTGCAGGCTGGCATCCAGGACATTGTAGATGGACTCACTGTGTAGCCCAGGCTGGCCTCAAACTCGTAATCCTCCTGCCTCAGTCTCCCAGGTGATGGGATTACAGGTGTGCGCTCCCATGTCCAGCTAACCTTAGATTTTGAGAGCACTTGGTATAGGGTCTGTTTGTCTTCAAATTACAAAAGAACATCCCCCAGGTTTAAAGATGAGTAAGTGTTCCACCTCTATATAGACACAGCTCTGTGTTAACAGAGTAGTCCCAAGACTACTTGGTAATAAACTGTTGGTGGTGTAACATACACTGGGAAGGTTCCTACCGCGAAAGATGTTGCATTTTTTTGCCCATGGTAATCTCTGTAGGGGAAATAGTCTGCTGAGCCCTACCCAAAGTAATGTAACTGGCCCCACAAAATGAACTTTAAAAGTTAGATCATTTTCTCCTCTAGAGACAAGTGGTTTCCTCAGACCTACTGCACAAACAGCTTCCCCCACCTCTCAGCCCAGATAAACAGACAGAATATGCAGATGCTGACACCAGGAGCCCAGAGAATGAGCTGAAGATGGCTGGCCATGACAGAGCAAGTGTGGTGATGTGTGCTGTCCCTCCCTATAAAAAGACCCTTAACATACTTGTACTCATTGAGATGGTGATTTCAGGCAAATGGACTCTCCATCTCCTTGGAGCTAGTTGTAAATAAATCCCTTTTACCAAAATAAATGACCTTCTTTGATTTAGTCAGCAGCAAGTAAATGAACCTGAGCATATGAACTTAAATGGCCAACACCACTTTACAGTTAAAAAAAACAAATAAACAAACAAAAACAGGGCTGGGGATTTAGCTCAGCGGCACAGCGGCTGCCTGGCAAGTGCAAGGTCGTGAGTTCGGTTCCCGGTACCGGAAAAAAACCAAAAAAAAAAAAAAAAAACCAACCAAACCACTTTACAGTTAGCCACCATGTAGTTATCCTGTGGGGGTCCCTCAGCAGGGTGTGATGCTCTGTGCCAGGCTACACCAAAATAGACCTGTGTATCACTGCATTGGCTGAAACCAGCAGACTTCCTTTCTTTTTTTTTTCTTTTTTTTGGTGGGGAGGGTTTGGTTTTTTGAGAAAGGGTCTGCTATGCAATTCAGACTGGCCTTGAATTCTGGCCAGTGGTGGCCTTGAACTCACAGCAGTCCTCCTGCCTCAGCCTCCTGGGAACTGGGATTATAGGTGTGCACCACCACACCCGGCCAGAATTCCTGCTAAGAAGGGGGATCAGAGTTATATGAACATACAATTCTTCCCATGGATTCTAGTTTTTACTTCTGCTTTCTGCTGTGTGACTGACAGCAATACATAAGTAGGAGCTATGTAAGCAATGTGTATGCATGCAAACTTTGGTAGTGTAACTGCCTGTAAGCTGGGTATTCTACACTAGACATTGACTATAAGCTGTCCACTGCTTTGTAATCCTTAATAAACTCACTTATTCACTAAGCTGGTCTTGTCTGAGTCATTCGTTGGTCTGTTGGCACCTTTCCAATTCAGAGAGGCATTTCTGTCTCCTTGGGAATTTGTAGAACACTGTCTTTTTATTCCTAGGTAGAACCCTGTCCCTTGGCCATTTTTTCCCTCTGAATCCACTTTTGAATTTTGGGGTGAAGATTCTTGTATCTATAAATGAATTGTCCTGTTTGTTTGAGCAGCATCTCTCCCTTGTCTGGCTCCTTGAGGGCAAGGAGTGCTGAAAACTAGGTTACCTACACTGTCTAGCAGAGTCAGACTCAGATCTTTGTGAAGAACTCTGTGTAAAGGCTGCTAGACCTGGATCAACTGTGTCTCAGCAGCTTTCCAGATGTCCTCATTCCCCTTCCCGAACACCTAACAATGCCAACATTAGGGCTGGGAACTGAGGCACAGTTGTGGCTTCAGTTGCCTGGCAGCTCTGCAGTTAAGAGTGATCCTTAGAGGAGGACAACTCTGCATCCTATTCTAGCATTGACCTTGAGAAAGTGTTCTGACTTGAGCAGTTCCTTCTCTCTGGTTGTGAGGATGAGGTTAATGTCTAGTGTAGAATACCCACAGCACTGCTTCTTGCATATGTTAAATATTCCATAAGCATCAACTGCATTAATACAGTTTTCAGAGAAAAAATGGGTAAAACAGGTAGACCCTACCCTACTTATATGCCATAGGCAGCCAGAGCTCTCCCTGAACAGAGCATTTGCCAGGACTGATCCAGCTTCCTTCAGCATAAAGCGCATTTGTGCTGCAATCATCAGCATGTTTAATGGGGCCCCCCAGTGGCTCCTGTGGCACTGTCCTCTCCCTCCGAGATTCGTAAGCCATGGGCGCGGACTCGGTACAAGCACGTGAACCGTGGGTGGCCCCAGTTGCTTAGGATCTGGATCTTCACCTTGGGGAAGGCAGACGGAGGATCATTCTGAGGAGACAAATCATGCCAAGAACTGCTCACAAGCACTGCCCTTTCCCTTCGTCTCCCACTGCCTTAGCATCTTCACCCCCAGAGACAAACACCTGCAGGTGGAAAGTCTGAATCGCAGATTTCTTCACGTCAAAGGTGAACCTCCCCAAGAAAACTTCAGTCTCATTGTCAATTTGGAGACCCTGGTGGGTGAAGAGTGAATGGAAGAAGAGTGAGGCACATGTGAAAGGGAGAGGAAAGCAGCTTTGTCGGGGCTCTTCGGTGTGTTCAGTAGCTCCACATGTGCTCTCATGTTTGTTCTGTCACAGGATGTGTAATGGGGAACGTGGGCTCTAAGAGTCCAGCATTTTAGTCTGGCCAATTGTGTGTCCTTGAGCAAGGAATGTCTCAACATTACTTCATATCTAAAGAGGGAGATTATCATGCTTCATAGTTTTTATGTGGATGCCATGAAATAGTGCGTATAAAGTGCTTGGCACAAAGTAATTGCTAATATTTGGATAGGATCACTTAGAGCAGCAGCCCTGACAGGCAAATCTTAGTATGTCCAGTTTGAGCAAAGACTCAAATACTAGTACCAGTTCTCAAGACTGCCTGGTGTGTACTAAGCAAAATCCCCAACTCCTGGCCTCAGCCCTACTCACAAAGACTGCAAAGTCTCGGGGGGCGCTGCTGGCATCCCCGGTGTGTGCCACGCTGGGTGGGGGATGCTGTAAGGTGATGTCGCTCAGCTGCACACGACCCGCCAACTGGATCGCCACCTGGCCCTGGTCACCCTGAAAAGCCCAGCAATTTCCAGGGAACACATCTGGCTGCAGAGAAGTGGAGGTGGGAGAAGACACCATTAGAACCCAAGGACAGTGACTACTGTCCCTCCTCATCCACGGCCCAGCCCAGAGCGCCACCTCCAGGCCTGTTCCCGGGCCTGATCCTGCCCAGAGCTCAGTTGCCCGCACTGCCAGTTCTCTTCAGTTCCCCAGCTTCACTCAGAGCTTCACTTGGGCAGGGCCAGACCCAGTCTCCCCAAGAGCCCCTCAACTCAGCCAGGTCCTGCCTCCACGGAGCTGGTCCTTTCTCCAGCACCCATCACTTGGTCCCATCCTAGCATCCTGGTTCCAGCCCCACCTCCAGGATGACCGTGGGTGGTCGCGCATAGTTCCAGAAGCTGAAGCGATTCCAGAAGTAGGCCGTTTTTGTGTCCTCATAGTCATGGGAAGTCTTCTGTAGGTCAATGGTGGCTCCTGGAGTAGAAAGAAATAACCCTCAGAGGCTGCCAGGCCTTACCAACATCTGGGGATTGGTCGGCCAGCGTCTCGGTCTCCTTGCGTGTCTCTGGGTCTTACCCACGGAGCTCAGGGCGTAGTCTGGTTTCTGCACGAAGTCTTCGTTCAGCCGCTGGAACACGAGCTTGGCCACCCTCTGCGGGGGTGGGCGGGAGGGGCGGGGTGTGCGGGCCATTTCACAGGTGGGCCGGACTCTCAGGGCACTCCGTGCTCTGGCATGGGCTTCGTGGGCTCCCAGTTGTAAGTTTAGTCCCAGGACCCACCCAAAGGAATTGGCCAGAGGTTTTCAAGGTGTGCGGGGACTGCAAGTGGGCGGAACCACGGGGCCTGGCTCCCCACCAGATCCCTGCACAGCCTCGGGGCTCTCACCTCGCTGTGGGCCGCGCGAACGCGGGCCACCTCCGTGCGGAGTTTATTCAGCTCGGCCTGAAGCTGCTGCAGCTGCTGCCCGTGGGAGCGCACGCGCTCGTGGTACTCGCTGGAGCGGGGAGACGGGCGCCCTGCGGTCGGTTCCTTGCTTCCCCTGCCACAAGGCCCCCCGCTGCGGCACCTTTGGGCCGCCCGATCCCCACCCCTGATGCCCTGTTTCACCTGGGAGTCAGCATCGCCTTAGAGTCCTAGGGGTGGGAAGCAAATACAGCGACCCTCAGCTCCTCACCGCCCCCCTCTTTCCCATGTCAGCCTAAAGGCAGCCAGAGTGCTCCTTTTTGAGAACTTCCCCGCCTGAGAACTTCCCCGCCT